TTGCGTATGAATTTGATTTTCAATATGCAATACAATTGTGTTGACAATATCATATATGAGGTCATGAGTTCGGCCAAATTTGTTCTACAAGAGGACCCGACGGACTTCAATTTCGACACTCACGTTTCGTTTGCTCAACACCGAATACTCAATAACGAGACATGAGTTTGCCGCACATTTTGGCATCCCCGTGGCCCATGAGAGGGGGATACCAGAAAGCACAATTGATGGTCATACTTTATGTGCAAAAATGACCGGAGAAGTGAAAGTTAATGTGTCTAAACTTTCCCCTAGTCACGTTCAACATCCCCTTCTCCGGATTTTCCTAAATTTGCTCGGCCGCACCAACAATCACCATACTCGGATGGGGGATGTGGCCATACTCACTCTAGCCCTCTTTGAAAGACCCGTGGCATATAATCTTTGCAATTTAATGTGGGATCACTTGGAGGAAGCTTGTAAGAAAACCAGAAACATTGTGGTAGGGGGTAGTAATGCATTTGGTATCCAAATTCGGCTATAGTTCTAATGCTCTAATAGCCGCCGATTCTTTGATGCACATTGGATGATTATCCAATGCAGGCTTAATCTCTTTGGGCAATAAAGACCACAATGGGAAACAACACTACAAATGGCACATGAACTACCCCGAACCCATCAAATACTTTTCCCTCACATGTGACGAATTACCTAGACTTAGCTATAGAATGCCAATCCATGAAGTTAACCACTATCTCCTTCCGAATAACATTCCACCACACCTCCAACCTCAAGCCAATCCCCCCGAGCAACAACCCGACCAACCCGAGCACCACGAGGGGCATGAAAATGTCCAACATGATATTCCCGACCATCCTCAAAACCCGCCACCACAAGACTTTTTCCAACAACTTTTGGCGGGTTAACAAGCACTCCTCACATGATTTCAAAACATGGGCCTAGAATACACCAAAATGGGAGGGCAATTTGCCCAACTTCAAGAAGAAATCGGGCACTATCGGGAGGAGTAAAATGAAAGGGATAGAAGACTAGAGGAATATCGGGAAGAACAAAGAGCGGGTTTCCAACGATTATAGGAGCAAAGATTGGCCGACATACAATGGTATGAAGAAGACTACCGGAGGATGTATGGGCCGACATATTCCTACATGTCCCACCTTGCCGGTTTTGCATCTATGGCATCACCACCACCACCATCTTCTTGGTGGGACCCCTCTCATTGGGGTGATTTTGGCAGTTCTAGCTCTGGTGGAGGAGGCTATGATGGCGGGGCGGATGGCGACACTCACATGGAAGAGGGAGGCACCGGTGGAGGTTTCCAAGGCGGCTTTTATGGCGGTGAAGGCGGGCACTAGGGATAGTGCCTTGGTCCAAGTGTGGGGGAGGAAGACTCATCTTTTGGTATGTTAAAATCCCTTTGTTTTTAAATTGTACTAAGCATTATTTACTTGTACTAGTTATTCACACACAATAATAATAATAATAATAATAATAATAATAATAATAATAATAATAATAATAATAATAATAATAATAATAATAATAATAATAATAATAATAATAATAATAATAATAATAATAATAATAATAATAATAATAATAATAATAATAATAATAATAATAATAATAATAATAATAATAATAATAATAATAATAATAATAATAATAATAATAAATGCTATTTAGGTTGAAAACTCCAAAAAATGAGCAATCTAAGCAAAAAGGGCTTACAAAAAATGATGAGTGAGTGGTAAGAAAGGAAAAATAAAGAGATGCTAGGATGAAAACCTTAAAAGGCTCCTAGGCAAAATGAGAGATATGAGAGAAATATGTGTTTTTGCAGGAAATCATCTCTTGGAGAAGAGGAAAAGAAGAAAAAGAAGAAGAAGAAGCGAAAGAAGAAGAAACAAAGAGCATAGAAGGCCAACAAACCCAAGAAAATGTTGTTTCATAAACTCATTTAAAACCTTGGTGGTCTTGTGTTCTTTCTTACTATTCTTGAAACTTATGATCTTTTGTAGAACATTGTACAAACATTTGGTTTTACTCGAGGTCGAGTAAAGAAACTAAGTGTGGGGGAGTTGACATTCATGTAATTCCCATGTTTATGTTTGTGTTTGTAATTAGTTTTGATTGATTTTTGCTTTGGAAATTACACACTTTTGGTGTAATAGTTTAGTTTGTAAAATATTTGTAATTTGTTTAGATTAGGTTTATTCTCAGCTCAAACAGGCCCAAGATCACTCTAGGGACCATTGATGAACATCAAAAGTGGAAGGAAGGTGCAAAATCTCAAGACAAAAATTCAGAATCTTCATTTTTGTGTTGTACCTGGTTGGGTATGACCTATACCCAGTCGGGTACCTTGCTTAAAAATCAAACCGGATCAAATCCGGGAACAATGCATCATGCGGGAAGATATTTAACCACGTTCGGGTCATACCCGATCGAGTGACCGACAGACCCGGTCGGGTATGCCCCAGTTTTCTGGCTTCCGGGAAGCTCTCTAAATACCCGATCGAGTGCCCTTAAAGCCCGATCGGGTACACAATCCTGCATCTCCCAAAAGCCTATAAATACACCTCATTTCATTCCCATAAAATTCACCAATTCCTATGTACTTCTAAGCTCATTTTAGACAAGTATTTTCTTTATATTTTCTAGTATGTTTAGTCTCCAAATGATGAGCTAAACTCTTCCATCTTGGTTTTGCTACTTTGAAGCTTAATGAATTGTAAGTTGTGAGTTATTTTCTTTAATCTTCTTCCTTGAATATTAATTAATTCCTATTCATACTTCATATTAATATTTTGAACATTACTTAAAGGATCAACTAGTTTTGTTTCATATATTAATTATTACTAGAATCGATCGACGAATACGTTTGTTAATCGTTCGGTCCTTTCACAGTAGTAAACTTGGATTGTTAATGCATGCGTCTCGTGGTTAATAATCTAAGGGGAATTAATTATATTGATTAAACCAATAAACCGCTTGTGTTGAGGTTATATGGTTAAACCAATCGTTTTCATCTTGATTTTATTGCTACTATCGGGTTGATATACGGCGCGTGTTCTATATTGACTTGGTAGTAAGTTTTATTAATGAACGCGTCTCGTTATTAATAACTACCCTCGGTGAATTGGATATACTCCTCGATTGAGTATTCGAGAGGAAGATAGTTAAAGATATAACCGGGACCGGCGAACATTTCATTAAGTGGATAAAAGCAAAACCAAGTCGTCATCTCTATTAAGTAAACCACATAAGTCGTTCATCTTAGTGTTAATTAAATCAAATCAATCTAACCCCCTGTTACTATTTTATTAAAAAAGAGAAGTTTTCCTTTCCCTGTGGATACGAACCTTACTACGCTAATACTACGTATAAGTATTGTATTGATTTATTATTTTGACGCACATCACGACAAAGTGCTCGTCAGCCACCGTGAACACCCGGAACCACGGAAGATCAATGATCCTTTGTCGCCATATTACTTATCGAGCTCGGATCATCCCGGTATGATCATATGCGCGGTTGTTCTCAAACGCGAGAACAACTATCGAGAATGGGCTACGACGATGAAGATTGAAGAACACATAACGTGCCAAACGAAAGATGAGGTTTCTTGATGGAACCATTGCACAACCCGTGAACCCTTCTAGGGACCTTGAAGATTGGATGACCGTCAATTCCATGGCGGTTGGGTGGATCATGACCTCTACAGAGCTTTAGATGTTCATATTATTGTGTGAACTAAGGAATTCAAGTTATGTGTGACACTAAGGCAAATAGGACACACGATTTGATATTTGGTTGTTCTTAATCTAACAACTCTTAACCAATGGATGCATAACAAACTCAAAATATGGGTTGCTTCACATGAACAATACATTGTATGCAAAACTTTAAATCTGTTACATAAAATCAAGGTATAAAGCAACATACCACCTACGACCTCAAATACTTCCTGAAAGTTGGGGATATTTACTTTTATTTGCCTTTCATCCCAAATTAATGGTTATGACTAACATACTGCAATATCGTCCAGAAAGTGAAGGAAGGCAGGGAGAGGAGAAGCTTACAGTGCAAAGAGACTCGGAAGCGCAGATGTTTTTCCAAAACTGTGCACACACCCATTTATATTTGATGGAGCAAGCCTAGAGTATGAAGTCCGTACAACATCCATAGCTGATGTAATGAATGAGAAGGAATTGAATAACATAATAATATGGGATATTAAAGAGGAAGGAGATGAGTATAGCTGAGCAAAAATGGGAGAAATGGCAGGTAAACAAACCTGCACAATCGGCGCAAGAAAGGGGAAACGACGAGAGGCCAACGGGGTTTGGTAAGGGCGCAGATGAGAGTTGCGATGCGCACTAAGAGGGCTAGGGGCGGTCACGGTTTGAGTGGAGCTGAAGGTGTGCGAACCAGGGTTCAGATGCAAAAGACAGACAGAAGTCAATAACGGGAGTTAAACGACAAATTTAATTCCTTTAAAAGTACAGAGGGGTAAAACACGTTGTACAATCCAACAAGCACATGATTACACCAACACAATTTTCAGCCCGAAAATGCCCTAACCCTCATTGAGGATTATAAGCTTTTAAGATTAAGATTTAAGAATAAGGATATGTTTGGCACACAAAAGACACTAGCTTCTAACTTTTTTGTTCTTTAAAAAGACCTTAAAAGATTGTAGTTGTATGTTTGACATGACATTTTTAAAGAGCTTTTCATAAATTAAAAGATCTTTTTTGAGATGCTACCGGGTGTAGCATCTGATAAAAGCTCGTGACTTCTAGTATTAATCAGTTCTAACAGCTTGTATGCCAAACCGAACTAAATCAAACAGTCAGTTTTTTACCAAACAGCTATCACTTTTTCCTTTTAAAATCTTTTCAATCACTAAAAACTAATAATTACTAAAAAGCTAATAAAAGTATTTTTTTAATTAGTTGTGTCAAACATACCCAAGTCCAAGGTTAACAAATGTCATAAAACATGTCCCAATCGCAAGGGACTCATAAGTGACGGTCACGGACTTGTAATGGTCAACGACAGCCTTAAGTCATAAACCCTTTCCATATCTCTCAAATTCATCTCCGTCTGATTCCAACCAACCAGAGGACAGTCCCTGATCCCTCCCAAGCGGATTCTGATTGGTGAGTTTCACCGCCTTCTCGTAAACAATCGATAATGTTCACAAAGTACGGAGTAATAATATTTTAAACATGCTTACCTAAACCCTTTCCTGCTCTTTCTCACATAGTCTCATTGCTTCAGGTGAATTTAGTTTTATAAAGTTTGGTTCTTGATTCGTCCTTTTGTTATCTTATTATGAGTAGCTGCTTTTTTCTTTCACCAGTCTCTCCAATTAACTGATGACATCTCGCGTTTGTATTTTGTTCGTCGTGTAATTAGGGTTTGTACTAAAGTCTTTCTTTTTGCTAATCTTGAGGTTTGGTTGTGGTTATTGCTCAGAGTAAACCCGTGGGTTGTGGCTCTAATTCCATTTAGGTTCTTGTCAGTTCTTAATGGCTTCACAAATAGTCCGAGAATGGGCTGGAATTCAGCAGTTCCCTGCTGCCACTCAGACCAAGTTACTTGATTTGCTGGGAAAATTGAAGCAGGAGGTACTTCTCTCCCTTTTAGCCGATTTCTAATTAGACTGAAATATGTTTTTTGAGTCCTTGCAATTGTAGAGTTGTTTGTTCTTTTTTGAGTACTTCATAGGTTCCGTTTGTCCTTGCACTGTATTTTTTCTAAAAATGCTTATGATTTTGTACATAGAGCCCAAGAGGCATCAATTGAAAGTGAGACTAATCAGCTCCGCTTATCCCTAGCACCCCAATTTTAACAGAGACAGAGTGACCTAAAACAAAAAATGTTATATTTTCTTGGGTGAAAAGCATTTACATGCCTTGTTATAATGCATCATTTATGGTCTCCTTCCCTGTAATCATCTAATGACACTTCCCTCTAATTATCTAATGGCACGTTGAAATACATTGGTATGTGATATCTTTTTTTTTTTGTTTTTTTTTGTATTGGTAGAATGTGAGCTCTTTGACTATCCTGGTGATGGGTAAAGGTGGTGTTGGAAAATCTTCAACTGTGAATTCAATCATAGGGGAAAGAGTAGTTACTGCGGGAGCTTTTCAGGTATCTACTTATAATTTTTTTTTTCTAAAATAATCTGAGAGACTTTATCTGCCCCTGTTTGTCAGTAATGATAGAAACATTATACTTTTCAGACGGAAGCTCCAAGACCTGTAATGGTATCACGTTCACGGGCGGGATTTACATTAAACATTATTGATACCCCTGGGCTCGTTGAAGCAGGATATGTTAATGATCAGGCTCTTGATATCATAAAGAGGTTAACTTGACATCACTTGTGACAAATTCTAGAGCCCGTTTGGTAATGCCTAGAATGACTACATCTGCGGAAGTTGTGGTTTGGAAGGCTCAATCATCTATTAAAATATGAACAGTACTTTTTATAATTAACTCAAGAAATAATAGGACTATAGGAGTATCTAAAATGATGGACTGATGGTTGAAGTCTCATATTCATTAATTTCAGCAAAAAATTAACATATGTGCTACTTTTTTCGTTATTCCATTAAGTCAATGTAGTGAAATAGTTAGTTAGTGAAAGTCTGGCACATAAGATCCATGAGGATGATAAATCAAAAAATGGCTACCAGACGGGCACCTATTGTCTGGATTTAAGCAATAGGGTTTCTCTGCATTATTTTAGTCTTCTTTTGAGAAGATCTTGACATTTTGTTCTGGTGTTCATTCCATGCAATTTTCTGATTGAATCTAAATAGGTTCCTTTTGAACAAGACAATTGATGTTTTGCTCTATGTGGACCGCCTGGACTCATACAGAGTGGATAACTTGGATTCACAGATAGTAAAAGCCATAAGTAATGCTTTTGGCAAGCAAATTTTTCGAAGATGTATTATTGTGCTTACTCATGCTCAAATGTCACCACCCGACGGATTGAGTTATGAAGAGTTCGCCACCAGAAGATCCGAGGCAGTTGTGAAGGTTGTCCGCCAGGGGGCGCGGATGAAGAAATCAGAGTTTCAGGTCTATTTTTATTCTCACCAACTTTGTATTTGATGTTTTTTATTAAAATATAAGGGAGTGTGGGATAAAAGTCATTGCAAATAAGTTTGTGAAATATTATTGTAGAAGTGTCCTGAATTTTTTCCAAGAGTTTTGTCTAAACTGAAATAGTGTTCAACTATTGATCAAGTATATGGACGATTAAAATTATAAAGGTAGCCATAGGACCCAGATGATTGAAATTTGAAGCTATCAAATATCAATTTAGGGCTCAAATAATTGATGTGACAAAAAAGGGGATAAATAATTCAAATACACCAAACTTTGAAGGGGTGTGAGGTAAACACCCGAAACCTACATATATAATATACTCCCTCCGTCCCCGAAACAACTTCCCACTTTCCTTATTTGGATGTCCTTAAGTTAACTTCCCATTTCCTTAAATGGCAAGTTATCCACATCAAAACAGTGTCAAAATAGTAAAATTTACCCTCTGGTAAGTTTATTTCCATAATATGTATGTAAGTCAAACCGGGAAGTTGTTCCGGGGACGGAGGGAGTAAATATCCCGAACTTCATATAAAAAGTTATGATAGCACAATGATTATATGATTTTTCTTCCACAAATGTAAATTTATGTTGTTAAGTACACAATTTAAAGAAAGAATTCCCTAAATAGGAGTAAAAATGTTTTGAAATTCCATAATAGGAGTATCATGTTTTTTAAGCCAAGTTTGGCATTACTACAAGGCTTTTAACACGGCATTTTTTCCAAACTTGGCAGATTACTTCTATTCAGGGAATAGAAAACATGATACTCCTATTTTGGAATTTCAAAATGCTTTTAATCCTATTTAGGGAAATTTCTACAATTAAAAACATTTGCAAGAATGTTAACTGAACTCTCATAAATGATAAATGTATTGAAATTATTTATTTAACACCATAAATTTACATATGTGAAAGAAAAATAATTAGATAACTTTTTATATAAAGTTTAGGGTATATATATTCCACATACAAGTTTAGGGCACATACCTCACACCTCTTCAAAGTTTGGGGTATTTAAATTATCCCCCCAAAAAATACTTTAATTTTGGATCTTTTTAATTATAAAATATTTTAATGTTAAATTGCTATGAAATTTCTTCGTAGATAGTTTAAATTAAGATTATTCTAGATATTTTAATAATAAAGAACATTGAAATTCATGAATATGTTTTGTCTTTGGGTGATTGCCTCGTGCGTAGTGAGATGATTATTTGCTTAACTGCTCTTTGTCTCAGAGAACTCCAATTCCCCTGGTTTTGGTTGAGAACAGCGGAAGATGCAAGAAGAATGAAAGTGATGAGAAGGTTTGCCTTGTTTCATTAGATATTTTTTTACTCTCGTTAAAAGATATCTTGTTCTCTAACCATGGTTTATACACAGGTTCTGCCAAATGGAATTGCATGGATACCTGATCTTGTTAAGACAATCACAGACATTGTATCACGTGGGAGAGAGGGTATTTTGGTTGACCAACAGTTGATTGATGGACCAAACCCTAACGAAAGAGGGAAATTGTTCATTCCTCTCATAATAGCTTTCCAAGTAAGGTTTTGATTGGGGGTTATTGTTTTCTTCTCATCCAGACCTTCACATTTCCAGGAAAATGCATTAATAAAAACTCTTATCTCCCTTGTCTTCTCTCGCAGTTCTTTGTTGTGAAACGGATTGAGAAGGGGATCAGGGCTGATATCAGAAGAGGAAGAGGATAGGGAGAACTTCGTTGTCGTAGAACAGCTTGAAAGTTTCATGAGGTTGTTGAATTTTGATTTTCTTCAAAGAGCATTCTGTTCTATTTCAACACTTCCCGGGATTGCCTGCATTTTCTTAATGTTTAAGTTTCTCTCTGGTTTTATTCCAGTAATTATGTATACAGCTAGCCTGTTGGTTATCTTGGTTCTTAAGTTGTGGAAGTGCTCTACATTTAAGAAAATAAAAATGTGTTCTGAGTTGTTGAGATTTAATTGAAAAGGAAACCGTATAATTTTTTCCCTTGAAAGAAAACAACGAGAATACTCAAAGATGGGTTCTACAAGGGAAAGTGTAAATTAAAAGGGAATGTAGTATTCTTCAAGCCATTGTAAGGTATGCTGTATGCATGAACACTAATGCGTTCGCAAAATGTGAACTTGGGTCTCGGGATCGGAAATATTAGGGGTGAGCAAAAATATTGAATCGGCATTAGGGTTACACAAGAATAACTCGAACCCGCATAACTCGCCCGACCCGACCCAACCCGACCCTATTTAATCGGGTATTTGAATTTTAAAAATATTCATGGGTTAAATATGTTTGAACCCGCACCTAATGGGTAGGGTTGCGGAATTAAAATCTCAAACCCAATAGCACCCTATCCGGCCAAAGTTTATTTTACTATTATTATGCTACAACGTTTGCTTGGATAATTTCAATTTAAGACCAATGTGCTCTATCTAAGACTTTATGATATTAGAATTATAATTAAACATTTATCATTTTGACTAGATGATTATTATATATTTACGTTTCCTTCTAAATGAACTTCCTTTACGGAAGGATGTTTTGATACTATCATCTAATGTTTTGCTTGTAAAAGATACTATCATTGTATTTGTTTGTGTGTTTTGGAAACAAGTTAATCGAATTTTAAATTAGTTACATTAATTTCTCACATGAAAGATGTAACCCGATGTGATTTTTTCCCCAATACCCGACCCTATCTGACCCGTTCATGCATGGTTTATCAACTTATATTGTGTACCGCGGGCTGGTTAATAGCCAACCCGAACAAATTGGGTAGGCCCAAAAAATATAGCAAACCCGACCCAACCCGCTCGATGTGCAGCCCTAATCGGCATGGTACTGAAGCGGACTAGTATAATATGGTAATACCGGACCAAAAAATAGGGTTTGAAATGGAATTCAAAATTTTTGTCCCAGACCGGACTGTTGTACTAGTTCAAACAATGCAATGACCAGTTTTCATAAAATGAGAACCGGTATCGGACTGAACCGGACCAAAGTATGATTTAAATATTTAAATGTACATTTACACCATTACTTTGATTAGTGTCTTCATACTTTTCATATTCACTTGGTTAACACAGAGCACTCTTATTCTCTTACTTTATAAGTTTATATATCAATATTTTATCAAATTTGATTCTGGTTTGTGCGACTTTGTAAAGCTTTTAATGTAGTTTCTGAATATGTAATTCTTTTTTTCTAAAAATAATTTGAGTGCGGACAGGGATCCGTTTGCTTTATCGTCAGTCAAACATCGTAAACCGTGAAATCCCTTGCAATTTGGGATGGAGGGAGTGTTAATTATGTAATATGAAAATTGATAAATTGTGTGGATTTTTGGCGGATAATTAAGCTTTAATTTTTTTCGTAAACACTTGAAAAAGTGTCATTGTTTGGTATTGGTATGACATGATATCGTTGCGTTTGAAAATGAAACAACACCGAACGGATTTAGATGTAAGATCGAACCAAACCGTTTGAATAGTCATGATACGGGTTCGACGGAATATTGGACCGGACCGTACCCACCCCTAGGAAATATAGGTCCCGGTCTCAAATCTCACTAATATGTTTGAGACCTGTTGGTTCAAGACCCGAACTGGCCCGGATGAAGATTGTGTTTCACTTCCTCATAAAAAGAAAGAAGTTAAACAAGTAAAAATATAATAGTAGCGGTCAAGAAGGGAAACAGAGAGAACAAACAATCACGTGCGGTTGTTCAATAAAAAATGAGGACAGTTTAAACAAAACATGAATCATAGAGGAACCTTTCCAAAAAAAATCACAACTTCCCTGTAAAAAGAACTCACGATTGAGTCGTGTCGTCAAAAGTAAATGCTCAAATACACGCATAAAAAGAATTTCGGGGTGTCGAAATTGTAAGTATTTTAGTGGTTTGACAGTTGGAAGTTAGAAAGAAGCGCAAATGGGAAGTAGGCATGGAGCCGGGCCGGGCCTAGGCCCGGTCGGGCCTTTTGTGTTTTGGGAAGGCCAGGGACTGGCCCGGGTTGCCGCCAGGTCCGGGTTGGGACGGGCCTCGGGCCACTATGTATTTTTTCCCCTTTTTCTAATTAACCCCCCCCCCCCCCCCCTCACCCCCCCCCCAAACCACCTCAAATGGCCCAAAATACCCAGCCCAACTCGATCGGGTATTTTAAAAAAACTGAAAAAATAAAATAAAAAAATAATAAAGCCCGAACCGGGCCCGGCCGGGCCGGTTCCATATTCAGCTGACCCGAGCCCACCCTTCCCTAACCAGCGGGTCGGGCCTACCCGAACCGGATTGTAGCGGGTCACCGGGCCGGGCCGGGCCCAAACAGTACCGGTCCCGGGCCGGGCGGCCCAACCCGAGTCCAAGAGGAGCAAATGCAACAAATATGAAGGGAACAAAGTTTGCAAAAGAGAGTCCATTAGGTGATCTTGTTTCTCATCTTATCAGTTTTATCAGTCATTTTTCACTAAATACAAAAATTTTGATTTCGTACGCTGGATCGTGTAATAATCAAAATAAATAAGGTTGGAGTTAATTTTCTGGTTACATGAAAAAAATACTTTACATACTACATATGGTTTTTTCATAAATCAGCAGAATCAATCAATCTAATTATTTCAGTCAAAACTTCATAAAGTTCAGCAAAATCAGTCAATACAACCAATTTCAATATGGATTATTAGCTAAATATATCTCCAACTATCATCAAACTCACAAATTTATCCCATACTTTTACTTTTACTAAAAAAAGACTCAAACTTCAACTTCTCTCACAATTACACTTTCAATGGATGAATTAGTAAAAATTAAGAAGTAAATCATATTCATATTTCATATTTTTCACTTGTTTCTATTTTAAAGTTTACAAATTTGTATTGCTTATATCTAACTGGTATTGATAAAAATGTGTAATTTTGAAGAGAAAAAAATAGAAAAGAAAAGCATAATTGTTGAAAAAGATAAAGTTTGAGTTTTCTTTGGATAAAAGTGAAAGAATAGAATAGATTCGTGAATTTGATAATAATTTGGAATAAAATAAGCTAATATTACTTTCAATATTACGGAGTACTACAAATCTGCACGCAAATCAATGTCAGATATTTGGTGTTACTTGACAACATGATTTGTTTGTGAGATGATTTGATAGACAATTGCCATTGTAAAGGTTGGTAGCAAACTTACAAAAATCATTTTATTTCAAAGAGTACTCACTAGTCACTAACTCGAGTATAACTGTATAAGATCCAGATCAATGTTACTTAATTATCAGAGGTGCTCTTAATTATCTCGCACAACTACAAAATAGGACTTTGGTCATGCAAGAAAACTTGCATCTTTTCACGCTTTTGATTGAACAACATTTTGTGTCCATTTGGATTTTGGAATGTTGAATTTAGGGGAAAGACAATAAGGAAGAAAAAATTAGAAAATTTGGAAGGAAAACATTTGTTATGGAAATTGTAACATTGTCTCAAGATGTTTTCTTTTGGACGAAAATTTGCTGGTCTGATCTGATCTAGTCTGAATTGATCTGGTAGATTTCTGGTCTCTGTATTTTATAACTACAGAAATCTGGTTTGATATGGAACTGAAAACGGTCCAAAAAAAAAACATCCTCAAAGTCAAATCTAAACGACTAAACATATCTGCAAATCTAAAAATATGCTTTAGGAAGAGGGGGATTATTTATTCACTCAGATCACATAAAATGCCAAACAATCTGAACATATCTATAAGAAATTAGAACATCAATCCTACAGATCTAATGACAGGACAACAGGTTGATGTAGTGATATACAGAACTTGTTTAGGTTTTAAACATTCAAAGACACTATAAATTAAAGTCTACCAAGACAAGTCCCGGGGTCAATGTCTGTGAACTATATGTCTTTCAAAACAGGCCATCCCTTTTTTATGATATCATTAATTTTTGCATCAATCCGCCTTTGGATCCGTGGTGGACAAAGTTCTGCGGCATAGCCATTCAGTTTTGTTGCCAATGTTGATCTTTCAAGCTCTTCCTCACCCATGTTCCCAATCAACTGAAGAAGGAATGAATTTCGTTTCAGTTCAAATCTCTGCATTATGGAAATCAAATGCTTGAATTAGTTAACTAGCTGCTAATAAAAGAAATTAGACCGAAGTAAATCTTAATATTATAGATTTCACTCAGTCAGCCATTCTCAATCACAATATCAACAAATTCAACACATCTACCCATTTTAGCCAAATATCTCTACCAAACAGACTGCTAATGTGAAGTTGATAGAAACTGGTTTCAAACCTTTAGGTTATACTGTGAAAACGGAAAAGGTTAGGGAAAGGGGGAAAATGATAACAAAAATTATTTTCTTATTATTGAACTTTGGATTCCCTTTGAGAAACCAAAAGGAAAATGGAATGGAATATGATTAGTTTATGTTTTCAAATGTTACATTTATTTAAATTTCGTAGTCTGTATACAATAGAAATAAATAAACATAATGGCTTTGGAACTTGGTTATTCATTTCCAAAAGGCCTTTCTAGAAATAAATAAACATAATGGAACTCTTCCTACTTTCTAAATTTCCTCCTTATTCCTTGCTATTTCTCATTTTCTAGTATTTTTGGATCCCAACAGGCCACTGATTGATACAGCAAGGCTAGATTGATATTACCTGATGTTCAGGCTCAGCAGGGTGAAACGATTCTAGCTGTTGAATTTGAGTGGTAACAATGCTGCTTTTAGACCTTGATTGCTCTCGCTCTTTGCTGACCCCAGCCAATCTCCTCTCCTCAGCTCCGTTTGTAAATATAATAGATCTGCTTTCACACAAAACCATTTAAGCTCTCAACAATGCACTTTTGCATAGTAAATGGCTAAATGTTTTAGCAGGAAATGACACTAAGTGATACCTGTACTGGTTACCCACATCGGGACCTTGCCCAAACACTTGTCTTGAATCATGACCAGACCAGAACACCTCCAACAGCTCTCTAAAACTAACTGTTGTAGGATCATATTCTATCTACATGATATATGATGAAATTCCATTAGATAAAACAAGTAGCTAATGCATGCCTCATAAAAAGCAATG